GAGAGAACGGGGGAGCCAGGCCCGTGCCCCCCCCCAGCCCTGGGGCTCTGTGCAGCCGCCGAGGAACACGCTCACTTCCAGGGCAGGAGTTTCCTCTACAAATCTGCTTTTATTGATTTTTCCCATCTGCTGATACAAGAGGCTGCAAAACCACCTGTCAAAAGGACCAGGCGGGGGAGGGTGGTTTTTTTTTGTTTTTTTTACTTAAAAAAATAGCATCTTTTTAAATACTACACTGGGCAGCTTCCCTCGCCCACTCCCCAGCACACGCTCACTTCCAGGGCAGGAGTTTCCTCTACAAATCTGCTTTTATTGATTTTTCCCATCTGCTGATACAAGAGGCTGCAAAACCACCTGTCAAAAGGACCAGGCGGGGGAGGGTGGTTTTTTTTTGTTTTTTTTACTTAAAAAAATAGCATCTTTTTAAATACTACACTGGGCAGCTTCCCTCGCCCACTCCCCAGCTGCAGCAGGCACACTCCTGCAGCCACTGCCCACGCCTCGCCCCCCCCGACGGTATGTACAAGTCACCCGAGCACAGGCACGCATCCCTAAGAGGGACACAGGCCCCTGCTGTGCGGCCCCCACGCTCCCCAGCCTTTGCCAAAATGGCAGCAGGAGGAAAAGGAGGTTTGTCCCCTAAAAATGAAGATCACGGCTCCTTGTGGCTGTGCTCTGGCCGGGGAAGCCAGCCCTGCCACCACGCCCTGCGCATCTGGAGTTGCTTGTCCTGCCTCCGTGCCAACGCAGGAGGGGCGTCAGTGAGTCCCGTGCTCGATCCAACCCTGGCCGAGGGCTCCCGGAGCCGGCTGGCCCGGCCCAGTCAGAGGCCTGGAGGTGCACTCTGCTGGGTTTGCCCCATGGCAGCACCAAGGGGGTCAGGCTGTTCGAGAGTCAATGTCCCAAATGGGCGTGCTCCAGGGGCCAAGAGACACTACGGAGACCTGGGAGAGAAAAAAGGGAGGGTAAGTGCTAGGAAGGTGGGGGAGGGTTTGCCTCCCCATGGAGATGGCAGAGGGACCCCCAATTTTCCAGTAGGCCTCCCTCCCCCACCTTGGGTGGCTTCCTGTTAGTACCTAGGAGGAGCTGGAGTGGCTAGCACCCAGGGTCAGATGGGGCTGGCAGTGACAGCAAAGAGGCGGGTTAACACCTAGCAGGGAGGGGGGTAGCTACATACCCAGACCAAGCTCTCCAGAGGCCAGTCACTGGGGGCCCAGGCTCTCCAGCAGCAGCCGGCGCCCCTCCTCGTAGTCATCCTCATCCACGTTGACCAGCAGGCGGATGGCCTCCTGCCCCACGGCGTCCTTGAGCGACTCTGTGAGGAAGACACCCTTGAGGGCCTCCAGCAGCGAGCCGTTCATGTAGTCGCTCCAGAAGGCGTCCAGGTAAGAGAGCTCTGAGAACTTGATGTCGCAGATGATGGAGCCCAGGTCACGGGACTTGAGGATGGTGTTGGACTGGCCGAAGATGTCGAACTGGCGCTCCAGGCGGTGCTGCTTGTTGGACAGCACGTTCTGGCGCAGGACCGGCTCGTGCTGGCAGAACTCGGCACGCACCCGCAGCCGGATGTCTGGGGGAAGAGCGACAGAGAAACACAGAGGGGAGGGAAGAAGAGAAACGAGGCGTTAGAGCGAGAGGGCACAGGCCAGCGGCACACAGAGACCGCGCGCTCATGCAGTGTGACGCTGGGGGGAGGGCGGCTCTGAACAGACCATGGGGCTGGCCCACGAAGGGCTCTGGACCCCCTCCCTAGAGCCTCCTCTTGGCACAGGGCTACAGCCAAGCCTTGCCAAATGTCCTGTACCCCTGCCAGCTCAGACCCAGAGCCCCAGCTAGCCAAGACCCTCTAGAGCAGCTGTGGGCATGCCTCAGCTCAGCCCCCCCCCCCCCTCTCTCCTTCAATCCCCCATCTCTAATACACAGCCAATCCATGGGCCGTACCCTAGTGGAAGATCAGCGCCCCACTGCTGACTGTCTCCACAGCTAGCGCTGCTGGTCAGAGCTGCTTTTCTGGCCCCCCTTCCCCCAGATTTGGCGGGGTTTGGCTGTAGCCATGCAGCCAGGAAGAGGTGGGGTTTAGTTTTGGATCCTCTCTCCTTCAATCCCCCATCTCTAATACACAGCCAATCCATGGGCCGTACCCTAGTGGAAGATCAGCGCCCCACTGCTGACTGTCTCCACAGCTAGCGCTGCTGGTCAGAGCTGCTTTTCTGGCCCCCCTTCCCCCAGATTTGGCGGGGTTTGGCTGTAGCCATGCAGCCAGGAAGAGGTGGGGTTTAGTTTTGGATCAGCCGCCTGTTAGGCCACAATTGAAAGGGGGTCAAAGGGGAAGTACAATGGCTACAGAGCAAGATACAGTCAAATAGAGAACCTGAGAGGCAGGTGGGTGTTACATACGCTCTACAAGGCCGTCTGCTTAATGGCTCTCTCTTGTGGTCCTCACCTGTAGAAGCATTAACTCAGAGTGCAGTCACAGCCCCGGCCGGAGCCCGTGCCCCCCAGAACCAAACCATTCAGCTGAGGCTCCAAGGCCCGCCCCACCTTCCACAGAGGGAGCAGCCTGAAGTCACCCCAGTCTGGTGGCGGTGGGCTCGGACGGGCGTGCCAAGAAAGGAGCCCGTTTTGGCCCCGAGTGGATGTGGCGCCCTTCTCACCCATTAGGGCTGTGGCCTGCCTGGGATAAGCTGTAACCGGGGTGAGACCCAGACTAGGGTAGGGGGAGGAAGTCACAGGGTGCTCTGGCAACAATCCAAGCCCTTAAGTCTCCTGCTCACCCCCCCAGATGCCAGTGACACACAGAGCAGCCGCCAGCTTCCTTCCTTTGTACTGGCACCACACACAGCAAAACCCATTGTGCCTAGGGCCCCAAATCCAGTCACAGCATGGGGAGCTGCCCTGGATGGCCTGAACACACTAGGATCCTGCTCCCTCCTCAGAAGGGATGGCAGGGCAGGACTGGACTGGACTGGGAGCACCTCCTCCCCCAGGACGGAGAGATGGGGCCCTGAGCAGCTGCTGAGGTTACAGACATGTGGAGGCCCAAACGGGATGTGGGCGAGGCGTGCCCAGTCCCACTATTACCAGCAGCCGGGAAAGCCATGGGGAGCACAAACAAGCAGTTCAGTGCTGCTCCCCATACGCCATCCCGAGGGTCGGGGGTGAGCTGAGCCCATTGGCCGGAACGACCAGCTGAGCGGGGTTTGGCCACATTCCCTCCACTCTGGGTTGGTGAGCTAGTCTCAGACCAGCGCAGAGCCTGCTACAGACACAGACCCAGGCCCCACCAGCGCCCATAGGCCCAGTCCCTCCCAGGTGCAAGGGCACTGCGCTCAGAAGTGAGGTTGGATTTTACCAGAGCCTGCTTGCATGGACCAATACTTAATGCTTTTCTGGGCGGCTGATCTCAACTGTGGACCGAGAGAAACAGGGTTCAAAGTTTTTAAGCACATGGTAACAGCAAGAAATCACTCTGGGCATCCATACAGCAAAGAACCTCAGCTGTGGGGTGAGAGCCAGCTGTTGACTGATGGACGGACTTCAGGCCGTGGGGTTGAGATGCCCCCCTCAGCAAACTGGGGAGCACATGGACTTTCCCCCTTGTCTGGCAAGAGCATGTGGGAGCCAGTGACACAGCAGGGGCCGGCTGTTAGCCAGGCTGTGCAGAGTGGTGGCTGGGGGCGCATGAGCTGGGCAGCTGGCAGGAAGGTACCAGATTCCAAGCTTGTTCCAATGGCTCTAGCAATGACCAGCAGCATGGGGTGGAGGCCATCTGAGATATGAACCACCAGCTGCCTGCTCCTGGATGGAGCACACTGGGGTTTGGGGGCTACTCTGTCCATCCCATTCTCCCTGGCACCCCAGCATGCGAGCTGGCATGCAGCAACCAATCCCATCAGACCCTGCTGGGGATCTGTGGCATCGTGCAGTGCCCTGTGCAGCAGCTGGCCCCTCTTGGCAGGGACGCAGGAGCTGTCCCGTAGGGTGGTGAGCTCAGCACGGCAGAGCTCTCTGAATAAGCATGCATGTGGGGTAGCCTGTCTGGGCCCTGCAGGGGAGCTCTAGAGCACACATTCAAAACAGGATGGGTTTCACCAACACCTGCCGGCGAGATTGGGAGCGCTGGAGTCAGTTACCTTTGCGAGACAGTTCTGAGTAGCTTGCATTAGAGACACAGGGTCTCTTTACCATCAACTTTTGCTTAGTAACCTGGAATTTAAACGGTGGATTGAGAGAGAATTGGCAGAAATCAAGCAGCAGCAGCAACAAAAAAATTGTGATACCAAGGAAAATCAGTGTGGTTGCCAGGCCCTAGCCTGGAAGGAAGAATGGAGCGCAGCGCCTCCTGCGGCTCAGGAAAGTTACAAATGCAGAGCTGCCGTCTGGGCCTCGCCAGCGGGCCTGGGATTCGTGCCCCCAAGAAGCAAGGTAACATTATCAAACAGACAGGCAACAATCTAGTGTGGAAGGGAGCTTACGGTCCGATCCGTGCACCTACCCGCCGGATGGCTTAGCTGCACCGTGAAGTTGCAGTTTTGACACTCATTGAATTATTTTTGAACCTTCTTCGTTAGAACCCATGGCCTGCAAATTGGTCAAACGGGAAGAGAGCGTTTTTGTGCAGTTTGCTTTTCCGGTCATTCGCATCGCACTGACACAAGATAACAGGACAAGAGCGGTGGTGACGCAGGCGCTCGGCACCTGGCTGGCTGAGCCAGGTTCTAGGGTTATATGCTGGTCTTGGAGATAGAAATCCAGGCCACCATCTTGGAATTGAACTGGCTACCCCCATGAAGGCAACAGCTGAGGGCTGACAAGAGTTAGGTGGGTATTTGGGAGCGGTCATGTGCCAGACCAGAGTCCTAGAATCGGAGGCCCAACACGATCACTCCACTACTTAGTCTACCCTCAGGACGGGTCTGACCCCCAAAGGCCACCCATATGGCTAGAAGCCACCCCTGCTAGTGGGGCGGGGTGGGGCTCCCCTAGACAGGAGGGAGCTCGGCGAGCCCAGAGCTGAATACTACTGAGCCATGGCACCGACAGTGCTTCCCGCTGTATGTCTCAAAGCGGTTCACCAGAGGAAAGAGCCACAGAACGGCAGCACGACTTGCCTAATTCCCCAGCACGGCACCAGCTGAGCAGGCCTAGAGCCCAGAAGTTCAGTAGCACTTGGGCCTGGCACTTTGCACACACAAGTGCTGCAGGAGCCAACCTCCCTGGCCTTTCTGCTGCTAGTCTACAGGCACATCGGAGGAGTAAGTTTCTGATGAGGCAGACTCCACTCTGCATGGTGATGGAAGGCAAAGCTGAACCTTGTGTCCCCCAAGTGACCACAAAGCACAGCCCCAGCAGCCAGGGTGCCATGGGCAGGACTTGAAAGAATAAGCATGAAGAGCACCCCAACAACTGTCCTGCAGCAGCCCCCCACACTAGTGCTAAAGACAGATCTGGAATCGAGGCTGGTTTGGGATTAGCATTCCAGCCGCAGGCAGAAGTTTTAGTAGTTTTTCCTCAGTATTTGTCCCCAATAAATTCTCTGCTCCTTCCTCCAAGTCTGCATTGGCCTGGGGATTAGCTAGCGCGCCCCGGCTCAGCACCTAGACCAGCATATAACGGGGCAGAAGTCAGGCCCCGCCCAGGCCAGCGCCTGGCACATCAGACATTTCCTCCCGCCCTCTCGTGGGGTGTAGCCATTTGGACAGTTAGAACCATGAGAGAAGAAACAGAGTGGGATGGCCAAGGGGACAGGACCCACAGGCTCGTAGGATGGGCCAAGGCTCCCTGCTCCCCCACCCCAGAAAGCTGTTGCGGCACCCCCCTGGACACACAGCACCCCTTTTAAGGTCACTGATTCAGAAGGAGACTGCACTTTGCTTAGAGACTCAGACCAGTGTCCCTGCTCCACCCCAGCTGAGGAGAGAGCAGGAGGCACCCATCAATACCCCACCAGGAACCGGAACCTTTCCATGGCGTGGTTCAAGAGTTGGGGGGTGGGGGAGAGGACCCTGGCCATGTGCCAGTCAGACACCTACCACAGGTCACTTTGGTGGGGGATGGGGGCTCCTGCTTGAGGGTAGCGACTGTCTTGGCCCCACGCCGCCTACCAAGGGCATTGGCCCGTGCCCTGCCTCTGCTCACCCGCTTCCTCTTGCTGGAGTTGGAGCCTAGGGAAAAGAAAAACAGTAGGAACCTTGCAAAACACAGAGCAAGGACTTGGAGCAGAGCTCTGAAAAGGGAGCAGGGTTTCAAGGCTAGAGAAGTGACACCAGCAGCCAGAACCTCTGAATTCTACTCCAGTACTGGGAGAAGAGAAGGATTTAGAACCACCTCCCACACCTCAAGGGGCAGGCACAGAATTTTCCACCCCCACATGCCATGGTGGAGACTTCCAAAGAGCTGAGGCCTCCTTAGATGGTGCAGACCTTAAAGAGAGGCCAATAGCTCTAATGATTCCTAACTAGACGGAAGGGGAAGGGGCCAGTGCCGATAGAGTGGTATGTTCCCCCTGCCCCCGCCATGCCACTGTACCTGTTTCACATTGATCGGGCTGGGCCTCTGCAGAGGCTGAGCCGAGACAACTATCCATCTGCCGGCCGCAAGCTGCCCCCCTGCCCCCGCCATGCCACTGTACCTGTTTCCCATGGATGGGGCTGGGCCTCTGCAGAGGCTGAGCCGAGACAACTATCCACCTGCCGGTCGGAAGCTGTCACAGATGGGCCGTAGGTATATCTCTCAGGAGACACTACGGAAGAGAAGAAAGGTGAGTTCCCTTGGGACAGCACCACCAGGGACAAGCACCCCTCAGACTTCTCCACCCTCCCAAGCCCAACCTGGAGTCAACCCCCCCAGGCCCCCCAAAGCCCTGGTACCTGTTCGCTGCCTCTTCAAAGTGACGTAGGGCAACAGGTCATGCCTGGTCAGCAACCGCAGGAGCTGCAAGAGCTGCAGGAAATTGGTCTCGTCGCATCTCCCCCTCCTTTCTAGCTCCAGCAGCAGCTCCACCCCATTCCTGGGCTGGTGCCGCTCAGCCACCACCTCTAGGCTCCCGGCTGCCTCCACCGGAGCTCGCCTGTGCTGGTTCCTCCTTTGCCAGCTCTCTAAAAGAGGTGAGGGGGTCTCTGCTCCACTCTCCTCTGCCACAGCCCACAGCCCAGGGTCCAGGGGATGGGTCCAGGGCTGGGTCTCATCAAGGAGAAAGGAAAGCACAGCCACATCATTCTCAGTCAGCTGGGAGCCGATCACCTCAAACATGCGGTGTAAGGACACCATGCCGTAGTACTCCAAGCACTCCTCCTCCTCCCAGCTTTGGGAAACAACCGGGCGCTTCATTTCAGCCATTCCAGGTCACACGCCCGCAAATCAGCTCTGGCTTTGGGCAGTGCAGTGAATAGGAGGTGCTTTGGGGTAGGTGACTGGGAGGAGACTTGGGGTCTAACACGTTTTAGGGCTGAATGGAGAATGTGTAAGGACTCCTACACCACGAGATCTCTCTGGGCACTCGCTAAGGCACTTGCGTCTGAACAGCGTCTGCAAAAGGACAGGACAAGACCGTCAGTTGGAGCAGGAGCACTTTGGTGTAGTCGAGTGGGACAAGAAAAGCCCAGGAGTCACATGCCACCAGAATCCACTGTCAGGTCAGACAGTGGCAGGAGTGACTCTGCACAGCGCTGGGAAAAGGGAGCCAGGGCCCTTGTGCTCCCTTCCTAGTCCTGCATTTGTAAGTGATGGGTTGCAATTCTGTCATGAACTTTGGAATCCTGATGCCCTGCTCCTCGCCCAGAACCCAGGCATCTTGGCTCCCAGCGCCTCACCCTAACCTCTAGCCTTCGCACCCCTCCCCAAGCTGGGGCCAGATTCCAGGAGCCCCACCCCTGGCTCGCAGCACCACTCCCCTTGCTGCATTGGACTGTGAGCCTGTGCAGTAAAACCCGATTTCATGGCTGAGCAACAACATGGTGGCTCCCTGCGCAGGTGTCCTGGAGCAAAGGCACCACAAGGTGGCAGCAACCAGATGACTGGAACAAACAACAGGACCTGCCAGCACAGCTGGGTGCCTCAGATCTCCCCCAGCCCTTCTCCCCCACAGGAACAGGACTTTGCCCTCCCCCCCCCAGCCTGTATCACTTCCCCACGCACAGCCCATGCCTTGCCCCCCAGGCTACAGGCCTCCTCACAGCGAGGATGTTCCTTCCGCACCAGCCCTGACCACAGCCCACCGTGCACCCAGCTAGAACAACCCCCATGGGCAACTATGGACCCCCCCCCCCCCCCCGGGCCCCCC